GTATGTTGACCAATCGCGTTGACCAGAGGGTGATGCGCGGTGTTCGAACGTGTTGAATGATGTCAAAAAGGTGATCAAAAGTGCAGATTTGAACAGATCCTATACTCGAACTGTCGGCCTTGGCCGAGATGGTCGGTGACGGCGATGACGTCGGGCATCACGCCGAACCGTGCCATCCAGTTCGTTAATGTTACGATCTGCGAGACTGCACGTAGGGMAACATAATATATTCTAGATATCAGCCAACCTGCCTCTGGCTAGCGCGTGAATCGGTCGACGACGTTTAATACTTATTATTATTATTTTTCGCGGAAGAATGCGAAAGCAGTGCCCTCGGTGTCGTCGTCGGTTCAAAACAGGAAAAAAAAGTACTATTGTACCCGCTGGACGGTGCAAGTAGCGGCCCAATCAAGTCAAGTTGAATGTAACCGAAACGTCGCTCCGTGCGATGTTCCAGGACGTCGTGATGTGTTAGTGCACTGTACTTTGAGACTGGCGCGTTGGCGTTGACTCCGTTCGCACGCTCGGGCCCATATCGCGTGATTTCTCCGATTTCTCGATCCATGTCTGGCCTGCAGCTGCTTATATACGGCAATTTGATGAGATGAATAACGGTGGCGCGGACACCGCTGTGGGCTTGACCGTGTATTACGAGTAGAAAACTGTAGCGCGCGCTGTCCGCGGAACAATCCGAATAAAGCAAGCGGCTTGCTGCAAGCCGTTCGGAGAGTTGCGCGTCAACGAACTTGTAATGTATGATCAGTGATAATAATATATACCGGGTGATTCTTTTATCATTGAACACTCATTATTTCAAAAATTACTAATGTTTTTGAACATATTTTTTTACATAGTTTCATGTTGTTCAAAAACCGACGTTTTTATTAAAAAGTTGTATTTTAAAATATTTTTTATCCATATCAATTTTTGAAATAATGAGTGTTCAATGATAAAAGAATCACCCGGTATATACAATGGATCTGCGGATCTTTAGTTCGGTTGATTGCCCACTGCCATAGGTCTGGTAGCCTTGTCGTCTCGGTGATTTCAAGAGTCGACTGCAGAGCGTCGCACTCGTCGCAGACGCGGTGTTGTTCTTGCCCGCGAAATGTGTTAGACGTTTTAATATATATGAATTGAGACAGAAACGAAATTTGTCGTWGGTAGGTACCTGTCGGTCGATGATCTTTTCTGCCTTGATAGTTGATACTTGATAGTGTAAATATGTATAAGTAAACGGCTTGTGATTCATTCATAATAGTGTCGCTCGTGAAGCGCCCTTCCATTTAATGCAGACGAAATATCGCGTGCCCCGCAAATGGTAAATAGGTCAAATTTTTCTTCGTTCAAACTTAATTTCTAAGTTATGGTTAAAATTGTATATTTATATTAATTAATATCTAACTAATAATGAACTCGTGGCCCCTATATGCCCCCACCCTGCCTGCTGAAATGTTAAAAAAATATGTGTTCACATTTTTGTATTAAACATTTTATTAAAAAATATAGGTATAAAAAATAATTTATAATAAATATTCATATTCTTTATTAAGTTTAATAATTCATTTAAAATTTCATTATTATATCACATAAGTAATAAGTATCATAAACTATATAAATACTATTTATAAATACAAGTATACTTTATAGGTAATCAATATTCTGGTATTCAGTATAAGCCATGCACTATGCACTATAGGTTAGGTTAGACACACCACTACACTATTATACCTAGATACGTTTATATCCGATGATCAATCGATATGTGTGTGCGTAATAAATAAGCCATTTAATAAATTACTAAAATTAACACGCAACATAAATTTATAATAAACGTCTTATTATTACAGTGGCGTAACTATGGGATAGCAAGGGTAGTGGTCGTGACCTCAAAAATTGTTATGGGATCGCAAGAGTATCATTTTACTACCATCACAAAATTATTTATATAATTTAAAAGAAAAAACCCTCGTCAGTATATGTATTTACTATTTATTTATCTTTAAGCAGTTATCTTGTTATCAGGAAAAAACACATTATTTGTGGATTTTCGTCTCGTAAAATTGCAAATATAAAAATTATTTTTAGAATTATTTACGAGGAACTTATGCGTAAGTGATGGTACCCATCCATTGTGTTTAGTGGAGAAGGTGAAGTATAAATAAAAGTGTTCGCTACCCCAAAGATTTGCTACAATAAAATAGTTACGCCACTCTGACTCTGTWAAGCGCCCCCCGGACTTTGGAGACTAAAATTGAAGGGGACGTATAATCTTCCTGTATCTACATAAGAAGAGGACTCCGCCCCCTCCACTTTAACAACTGCCTAATATATTATAAATAGCTAACTTATTGAAAACTAAAACATGCCCCTACAGGCTACATTAAATAATTTACTGCACAAATATAATACGACGATCTACTTATTACGGTATCTTTTATATTGCTATTCGGTATTCTATATGTACCTATAATACCTACTTTGGGTACTTTACCTAGTTGTATAACATTATGCTATATATTATAATTATTGTGTATCTTAAAATATTGATTACTTTAAATAAAGTATAGGTATATAAGTAGGTATTAATGRCTATTAAAATGTACATTATGTATTATACAAAAATCGGGAATACATTAGGGATCATAGTATCATATATTTGCAGCGTTTGACTTGGAGGAATTATCGGAAGGTTACTCTAAATCAATTTTTCAGTTATTTTTGCGTAGGTAAATTCCTACATTTTTTCCAAGTTGTACGCATAGGCGTTGCCCACGATATTTTGGCTAAAGTTTGCAACGACCCTATTTTTAGATTTTTGATAAGTTAATGGGTTATCAGAAGAAATAGGAATTTGGGATCCTGTAAAATGAATAGATCCTTAAACATTGTTATTCCCATAATCGCTGTTAAGTATAGTATAGGAATTAGCCTTATAGAAGGGGTGGGGGTGTTGTGTTGCGTGTTACAGTGCAGCGTAACTAGCTTTGAGCGTGTTATACATATACTTGTCTAATAAAAGTAAGGATTTTAGACTTCATGGCATAAGTTATAGCGGTCAATAACATTATAGTTCTGTAATAATAATTAGGGTTCAGAAGCTGAGAGAGTTGGATATTACCTATTCTATATGCTCTCGATTTATAGCAGACCAAGAGAGAAATTCGACTATCTAAGCCAGTATACTTAACCTTGTTTTTATTTGGGCGGCATWAAATATTTTAAAATATTACGTGGACTATACAAGTCGAAACGGAAAGAGAACTTGAAAAAAAAATTAAAAATGAATATGTTATTTTGTTACTAAGTAATAAAATATTTATAAAAACCTATTGGATATAAGGGCATAAGGATACAACAGATACGAGAGTAGGTRCAACCATGCATACTATGCATTTTAGTTAAAAAGAACCTCAAAATATAACTATACAGATATACGTCAAGTAGTAAAGTTATTTAATTTGATTTTTTTACCTAATTGAATGTTAATAGTATCAAAGTCATCGAACCATTGCAATTGTATTTAGCATTTTAGCMCTGAGTGTAAATACATATCATGAATATATATGTATATATTTTTTAATAAGTACAAATATGTAAAAAAAATGTATTTATTTATTAAAAGTGTGTTACATATTTATTAATATACAGGGAAAAAATTCTAAAAACATATATTTAAAAATTGTATTATTTAACTCATATATATATATATATTACTTTTATTTTTAAAAGAAATTTACAATCAGCACTCAATGGCACAATGAGAAAAAATGTGAATTTGGATAACGTACAGTTATTAAGATGTATATTAGTCACAAAGGAGAAACAATCATAATAAACTATACATATTTTGATACGTTTGTAGAAAGCAGCCACCCAATAGCAACACTTTCATTTTGGAGTATATTATATTTCATATATTTTTTTTTTTAAATTAGTAAATCACGAYACCATTTTCGTTTTAGCTTTCTAGGAGCCAGGAGGGTTACCTGRAATTGTTGGAGTAGAAAGATCTCTTGCAAGCGGATTGGGATGAGATGGTAAGCRTAGGTGGAATCGTTTGTAATAGGATTTAGCCTCATCATCGTGAACTAGTGGAATTTTTAGATCTGAATGGATAGTATGGTTAGATACATAGCGAGGGGCATTTAAAAGTTTGCATAGTGCTTTATTTTGGAAACTTTGTATTTTGTTTAAATTAGACTTTTTTGCGTTTCTCCATGGTTGCAGTCCATATGTCCACATAGGTTTAAGTAAAGATTTATTGATGAGAAGCTTAGTATTAATATGTGTATATTTATTATTATAAATTAGGCTTTTTAATGGACAAAGTCGTAGATTTAATTTAACTCTTTTAACTTTTTGCTTTGATATGGTGGACCCAGGTCAGCCTCTTATCGAGGGTTACACCAAGGTATTTAGTACTTAGAGCACTAGGGATTTGGGTGCCATAAATTAAAACCTCATCGCATGGAGCAAGTCTAAGGATGAACGTTGTATGCCTATACTTGGAGAGATTAATTTTAACTCTCCATTTAGTGTACCAGTCTTCCATGAGGGTGAGATGGGATTGAAGATTTTGTATTGCTACATAAGGATCGGAATGAAWAGAAAGTATGGACTTGTCATATATACTCTTATATTATATAAAAAATAAATGAAAAATATGGTCATTACCGGTTGGCGTTTAAGATTTTATTGAACTGAAAAAATGCAACATTATTTTAAATAAATTGGTTAAGAATGAAAAAAAATTAATTTTTGTAGAAAATATTAAATATGCAAACATTTACGCGAAAACCAATGAAAAATTGACAAAATATGCACTTATACTCTAAAATACCAAAATTTGCATTTTTAATTTTCAATTTTTAAACTCAACATTGTGTAGCTTGGTCTACTATAACTCAACAGTATACAGAACAATATGCAACTCCTATAATTTCCAAACCATAGTTATTATATATATATATATATATAGTATAATATGGTTTTAAACAGTGTATATTTTTTACAATACTTGAAATTGAAATAATATAGTATAAAAATAAAATGGTATGAGTCATCGTTAGTATGGTGATAACTTATACACAACAACAAATAAGTACCTCAACAATAAACACCCTCAAGGAATCTATTGGTATAAATTTTATTTAGGTTGGAAATTTAGTTTTTAAATTAGCATTTAGCAAATTACGTTTGAAACAATAACATGTTGTTTGTTTAAACAAATTATTATAAAATCATATTGCATAAGATTCAGGGGTGTGTTTAGATGTTTACAATGTTTACACTTAATAATTTTTGTCCAATTCTTTACTATCGCTATTTCTCACGGAAAATTTTAATTTACAAAAATTAGATCCAAGAATACAAATTTACAATAATTAAAACTATTRAATTGACAAAATAAAAATGAAATATAAACCATTTTGATGATTTYTAAAATAACATATATATTACACATAGACTAACCAGTTATCAGGTTTTGTAAGTCAATACTCCCAATATACCATAATTGGATAATATGTATTTTTAAATTAAGGAATAATTAAACTGACATAGAGTAATTCAATTAATCACACCAAATATTATATATTATAATGATACAGTTGATGTTTGTTGTAAGACAAATTTTTTATTGATAATTTATTTTTGAAAATTTAGAACACTTGTAAAGCAATTTTTTTAACACTTGAATGTATAAACCATACAAAAATTATGTACTTATAATTAAAACATTTAGAACTTGAATATTTAATTATTTAGCTTCATTCTTTACTCTATCATATATTTCATCACAATCTTCATTCTTTATATGTTTCCATCCATCTTTAGTGATGTGATACACTAGAATATATTTTTCAATAAAATATTTAGAAAATCAAATTATATGAAATATAAATACAATCTAAATTTGAATTTATTACCTCGRACAATCCCACCACTGTAAGCATCTCGATGAGTAGCATGGAAGATAGCTCTTTGACCAAGCTTTTGAGCTTCTTCGTCAGTTAAATCCCATTTATAGCCAGAGTCAAGAACACCAAACGCATATATTGATCCGGAACCTACTGAAAACACTTTACCTGGTGTTCTGGAACCATCATTGTCAATGTAAAATAAAGATGGGCCCTAAAACATGTTTTTTTTAAAAAATTAGTTTTAAAAGTTTGTTAATTCTAAAGATAATTACATTTTTATCATATCCAGCTAACATCATTCCAATAGATAATCCATATCCTTTATAGTAATAAATCATGTTTGACATAATTTTGGAAGCAGCTGTAATACTAATACGTTCTTTGTTTCTTAACTCATGTAATCTGCATTGTTTTGAGAGAACACGATCCCAGTAGACACAATCAGCTGCACCACCAGCTAATGTACCCAACATAAAATCATTGATTTCAACGATTTTCTTCATACATTGAGAACCAATGTACTGTCCTCCAGTAGCACGAGAATCAACTGCTAACACTATGCCTCCTTGGTATAAAAATCCCAATGTTGTAGTACCATGGTGAAAGTTTAACTCAATTGGACGACCCATTGTATCACGTGCAGTAATCATACGCATGTTTTCAACAGGCTAGAAATTAAAGGAAATATTTATATTTCATAAACCCAATCATGATTATAATTTATATTTAACAGTTAGGCATATACTTATATAGTTGTATACTTAGGATACGAGCAATTATTATGTATAATATTTATAAATTATCAAATCGGGAATAATAATTTTCTGTTTATTAAAATATTATAATTTAAAATACTTGGTATATAGTACCTAACATTGTAAAAATACCTKGTGTATTGACACAATTAAATTAATAAATAAATAAAAAATACTTAGATAGTTTTAAAAGATAATAGCCTTTTTCGGGAATTCAATTAGCTGAGATTACTATAAACAAATTTGGGGGTTATAATCATAAATATATTTATTAGCCAACATAAATATATATTTAAAAACGAAATTACAAAATTTGTTTAGTATATTTGTAGCGCAAGTTAAAAATATAAATCAAGAGAATAGCTATCAATTTAAAAGGATCATGCATTATAAAGTAGATTTTGGTAATTTATATCATTCAAAACTATAAAATAGGTTTAAATGTCATGTAATACATATAAAATGATTCTTAAATACTATTTATAGATTTTTAATTGTTATGTTTAATGTTGGATTATCTTTTCGTATAATATGAACTAAAATCAGTTCTTACTTGTATAAAATTCAAATTTTATATTTGGAAAAACATTACATACCTACATTTTAAGTAAAAATAGAAAAAAACTTAAATATGAATTTTATATACATATTAGATATGTGTAGTTGCCTCAGTTTATTTAAAGCTTTAAGAAATATTATTGAAGCACAAACGCAGTCTATTAAGAAGTAATAGGTAATTAACATACAATCTTAAGTCTTAATAAATCTTCCATTTATAGTCAATTTTAATCTATGTCCAAATAACAATGATTGTYACTTACATTTCCAGGAAGTGAGTACAAATTCATTTGGTTTACGGTATTGTCACTCCGAAAAGTTTCGAATGCTTCATTTTCTTCAACTTCGCATTTGCTTTTGAATAAAGTATCATCAGACAACCCACACAAAGATAACATTGCCATGATTGCTATTATTCAAAATTAATTTTATTTAATATACGTAGCAAGAAGTAAAAAGTAATAGTTGAAACTTAATACTAACCAGTAATGTTTGTGCTTCACACTTAAATACTTATTATAATTATTATGTTTTAAATAATAATTTTGTTCTTTCTAATCGAAATTATTCTATTAAAAAAAATTAATCATTTATTTATGATTATATAATGGAATCCACAATAGAATAATTTCGATAAAGAAGTATTAATTACTGAAAATTTATTAGAATTTATGGGATTTTTAAATAATAATTTTGTTCTTTAATCTTACTGTTATTCCTTTAATGATAATGGAAATGTATAATGTATTTGTTGATTTATCATTATCAAAAAGTATGCACATAACCTAACAAAATATTTCTAATGCAATGTTGTCATTTTTTTAAACACAATGTGTGTTAAAATAATCTCAATATTTTAAGATTTTCAAGCAATATTAAATTTATTATTTTGGAATTAATATATTTATTAGAAAATAATGAATCAAATTTAGGAAATTTTTATGGTTATTTAAATTTTCTTTCATTATTTAATATTTCATAACCACAAATATTGTTTTTACTTCGCAACTTTGGCAACATTGCTGTGTCCACACTTCAATATTCATTAGTATTTCGTGTTGTTGTGGAACGGGACAAATCCTGTTCCTTTTCTACTAATTTTCGGCACACGTTTTTGTTACTCAATTTAGGTAAGWAATATTTTTTTTTAATTCTTAGAGCTTATTTCTAAATATTAATTTTTAAATTGTTGCACGTTTTAATAATAATGATTTATCTACCGTCTGAATAGATTCAAAAATTAATAATTTGAATTATACATTTTTACGCCGTGTGGTTTYCAAAACCTCATTAAAGAACATTAAATTTAATTCTTCTTTTAGAACTGTTCGTTTGAGTTTTTCTGTAGTTTTTTATTTTCGTTTGTATAGTTTTTTGAATYGAATGATAGTTGTTCCTTCCAAAACATGATCGAATATTTTTTGAGGTTATGTACTTAATATTTATGTTATTCATTTACAGGTATAGGTCGGTCTCCTAAGATGGGTGGTTATAAGTACGTGCAAGAAGTGTACCGGAAGAAGCAAAGCGATGTTTTACGTTATTTGTTGCGTATTCGCGTTTGGCAGTATAGACAGATGACTCGCGTACACCGTGCGCCACGTCCAACCAGACCCGACAAAGCTAGACGGTTGGGATACAAAGCTAAACAAGGTAATGTTTTTTTTTTTTATAAACCTTAAGCTCTAAGGATATCAAATGTTTTCTAATACCACACAATATTATTTATGTGAACAGGATTCTCCATATTCAGAGTGCGTATCAGGCGTGGTGGTCGCAAACGTCCAGTACCCAAAGGTGCTACTTATGGTAAGCCCAAAAGCCATGGAGTTAATGAATTGAAACCTAAACGCTGTCTGCAATCAATTGCTGAGGTAAATTTGACTTATATTTCTAAATATGCTTTGTACACTTTTAATAGATTTATGTGTTGACAATCTGTCTTTTTAAAATGATAATTTGCTCTATATTTAGTGGGGGCCATGTTTTTGGTCACTGATGGCTTATGATTATCTTAGGTTTAACTGTTAAGAAAACCACCATCTCTCTTTCCATGTGGATAGCTACARTTTCCTCTTATGATGTTCCTTATTGGTGTTAGTTAAATAAAAAAATTATTTACCTATTAAGTAATGGAGTATAAGACAAATGCAAGTATATGGCTGA